GAGGCAGCAAACCGTTAACTACTTTAAAAATGAACACCATAGTCAAATATACAATTCTTTGCTTCACCGACAACCATTGTAAGGCGTCTAACATCAAAGTTGAGGAAGTGAATCTATTACATCTCAAAATCCCGTTCCCGAACCCCGTTCAAATGCCTATTCCTACACAAAACTCAAGCTCCTGCTGCAGTTGACAAATAAGATTTATTATACAAGACCACGTTGTTCTACGTCACCATTGCGAACAACCCCATAGGGCTGTCCCTTGTAGTTTTTTTTAAAGGATTGTTTATGGATTTTGCAAGTGGTCTAAGATCTAAAAATTAGATTAATGGGCACAAATGTTCATAATTACCCAGGATACAGTCATGGTTCCTAAGTATCGATCCTGGACACAACGGAACGGTCCTCCGGAAGATTCGGAACATCTGTAAAATTGGTCAATCCATGAAACTGATCCTAGAGCTCCGCGGTTTTTTTTTTTCGAAAACACTAGTAACTGTGATGTAAGAAATAATTTAGGGTCGTGAAATAAACATGGTCCCCGATGGCCATGAGACCGTCCCCCGGAAGATCCGAAAGATCCTTAAAAGTGGTCCATCCATGAAACTGATCCTAGAGCTCTAGGAACTGTAATATAAGAAAGAATTTGGGGTAGTGACATGATCCTGGGTGGCCATTCGACTGTCATTCGGAAGATCCGGAACATCGGTAAAATTGGTTTATCCTGAAACTGATTCTACAGCTCAGCAGTTTTTTTTAATCACTTGAAACTGTGTGAAACTGTATAAGAAAAAAATAGGTCGGGATGTAAACATGGACCTGGATGGGAATAAGACCGCTCTCTGGAAGATCAGGAACATCCTTAAAAGTGGTAAATCCATGAAACTGATCCTAGAGCTCAGCAGTTTATTTCAAAAAAAATCAGGAACTGTGTTATAAGAATGAATTTGGGGTCGTGACATAAACATGAACCTGGATGTCCATTGGGACGTCATTCGGAAGATCCAGAACATCCGAAAAAAGTGTTTCATATATGAAACTGTGAAAAAAACTTCGAAAACTTCACAGTTCGAAGTGTTCTCGAGTAAACCGCGAAGTTCTAGAATCAGTATCATCGATGCACCACTTTTACGGATTTTCCGGAAGACGGTTTCATGGTCATTCGGGTTCATGTTTATGTTACGACCCCAAATTATTATCACAGTTCCACGTGTTTTCGGAAAAAAAACCGTGGAACTCATGGATCAGTTTTATGGATTGACCATTTTACGGATGTTCCAGATCTTCCAGATGACGATCCCATGGCCATGCAGGTACATGTTTATGCCATGACCCCAAATTCTTAAATCACAGTTCCTAATGTTTTTGAAAAAAAAAAACTGCGCAGCTCTAGGATCAGTTTCATTGATTGTCCTCTTTTCCGGACCTACTAGAGGACGGCCCCATGGCCATCCGGGTCCATGTTTATGCCATGACCCCGAATTCTTTATTATATCACAGTCCATGCTTTAGAAAAAAAAGTAGAACTCTACCCAACTAACAATTTTCACAATGTAAACGCTTTACTCATTTCATTTATATAGCCTCAAGCTGTATTCAAACGTTATACAATATGAGGAAACCTTTACTCAACCTCTATACTAGCAAATTTGGCTAACTTAATCAGCTACTTATGGTTGTTGGAACGGTCGGGAGAAGCTCTTATTGCATATCCATTAACGCTTTTATACAGCTGTTATCCTGCTGTTTAGTTGTGTGTGAACTTGAAAGGCGCTTATTCAACCTTTTCCCGGTTATCCAATAATCACTACACAGCGTTCTCTTGAAACCGGGTTAAATAATGCTTACGCTTTTTATGAAGGAATTTATTGAGTTTGTTTTGCTGTGAATCAAATTAATCGAAATTAGTTACAAATCATCACCAATAAATTATTCACCCTGCACCGGAACCTGGAATCGAACTCGAGACGACCTCATTGGCAAACCTTGACACTACCAACTGTGCTACGCCAACACTTTGAACTTATGTAAACAAATCAACATTCCCTTCTACAACAAAATCGCTGAGTAGAGGCTTTATAATAGTGCACACGAATCACTTTTCTTGACTAGTTTTAAAAGAGCAAAGTAAAAGCTGTAAATCTGCACACGTCTAAAAATAAACCTAGTTGACTGTGAAAATGCTTCCGAAGTTGCTCTAACACAGTTTATAAGCTGAGTACAGGTTGTTTAGTTGTTGAAAAAGCACTTTTGATGTTTATGTTATTCAGCAAGAGTGGTTGGTTGTTTAGAAGCCATCAAATGAGTAATATATTCACTTTGTTAGCTTTGTTTTGCAGCTACAAGTTGAAAGTTGATTAGTGTGTGTATAGAAGTGACATTAGCGTTTATTGGCTGATGTTATTCAGTGCAACTGACAAATTGAATAATGGTTGTGATAAAGTTGAGTAAACGCTCTCCAAAACAATTTTGCTAGCTTTTGCTAGTAGCTGTATCTGCAGCTTCTTTTCAACTACTTTACAGCACAACGCTGGAAAAGTTGGCTTACAAAGCTGAAAATGTTAGTTGGGTAGGATCAGTTTCGTGGATTGACCACTTTTACGAATGTTCCGGATCTTTCGGAGGACAGTCTCATGGCTATCAGGGTCCAGGTTTGTCACGACCCCAAATTCATACTGTCATCACAGCTCCTAGTGTTTTTTTTCTAAAACTGCGGAGCTCTAGGATCACTTTCATGAATTGACCACTTTTACGGATGTTTCAAATCTTCCGGTGGATGGTCTTAAGGCCATACAGGTCCATGTTTATGTCATGACCCCAAATTCTTTCTTAAATGCCAGTTCCTAATACTTTAAAAAAACCGCGGAGTTCTAGGATCAGTTTTATGGATTGACCATTTTGAGGGATGTTACAGATCTTCCGGAGGACGGTCCCATGGCCTTCTAGGTACATGTTTATGTTATGACCCCCAATTAATTTATATATGACATTTCCAAGTGTTTTCGAAAAAACCACGCTGCTCTAGAATCAGTTTCATGGATTGACCACTTTTACAGATGTTGCGGATCTTCCAGAGCACACTCCCATGGCTATGCGGGTCCGTGTTTATGTAATGAATCCAAATTCTTTCTTATATCACAGTTCCTAATGTTTTCGAAAAAACCGCGGAGCTCTAGGACCAGTTTCGTGGATTTGCCAATTTTATGTTGTTCTTAATGATGTTCCGAATCTTCCGGGGGACCGTTCAGTTGTCTCCAGGATCCATATATAGGAACCATGACTGTTTGCTTCCTCATTATAAACACTCCTTAAAAAAACGTGCAACGACTCTTTTCACTTTCGAATAAAGTAGACAACCCTATTTTTAATTTACAGACGCTAGGAATTCTAAAAGTACCACAATGTTTGAAATTCTCTAAGAAATGACTAAGTTATGCTATTGCAAACTTGTCGTTACACGTTTTTCGGAGGCATCGTATTCGGAGTGTTGAGGAAAAAATATAAAATCAATTAAATTAGTAAATAGCGATGTTTTAAAACCATTTATACCGATAAGCTTGTAAACAATCTGGCAACACTGCCTCAGCGTTTCATTTGACAACTCACTGGAAGTTTTGGGAACTTTGTTTCGTCCACAGATTGTTAAGGAAAATTTGGTAGAAAAGGTTCAAGATCTTTCATGACGTTTGGAGAAGGTCGTAGATGTCCTGGATCTTGGTTGAATTGAGAGAACTTGGAACTTGCGACAATTACCAAGTAGTAAAGCTAAAGCAACTTTGTAGATGTCCAACGAACATTGGAGCAATGTTTCTTGCAGAGGAATTTTTTAGCTTGTATTATTATTATAATGCACATTTCGCAATACACACTTGAATCAACAATCAATACGAAACTAACGATTTTAAATTGGCTCACTACTTGACTAGCCTATTGGTCCCAAGCAAACGACTAACGTATCCCATTCTAGTCGACATTCTAGTACTACGCAATGTTTGTTTTGATTCGCTATGAAAGTTTGACAGATAAAATGAGGGGTTATCAAGGGGTAAGTCACTCAGCACATTGTGCCGAAATTATATTCGGCACAACTTGGGAACATCCATCGGCACATTTTCAGCATACCTTCGGCACAATCTCGTAGGCATTAGATTGTTGTAAATAAAATGGGACCACTGCTGGACAACTGTCATTGAAGTTGTTCAGAATATTACGTGCTGTTTGACTCTACATATGTTCAGGAACATCTTCTAATTGAATATACCAGAGGCACTCAGACCAGCAGTTAACGTATAGATCTAAATACGAAATGTAGGTTCCAGAGTGGGCTCAAGAGAAAGAGGCAGTTGATCAGACCTCATTAGTACCCTTAATTCAAATAATGCTGCAATTCCCACAAAACAAACTAAAGAAGTTTATTCATCACCCTCTATAGTTGGTCTCCAACAATGCTCCCCACCGGTTCCAACTCTTTCTGGCCGAAAGGCTAGGTTTCTGGTCTGCCTTTGCCTTTGGTTTGCCATTATAAAACACTAAAACGCAGGACTTTTATTACCCTATGGATCACAAAACACCGAAATTTCTCACTCGCCACTTCCCGCGTCATCCTCAATCCGATTTATCCTTGCGATTTCAAACCAAAACATTCAAGGTGTCAGAAATACCGGGTTGCTGCGATGGGTGTTTTACAAACAATCGCAGCTTGCTCTACGACCGGCACAATCGACATACTTGCGGCACACTGACAAAAAAGTTGACCCAAGATTGGTGTGCGGAGTGACCTACCCCTTGGGGGTTATTGGTTTTTCCTATGTTTCGAGGGGTGAATCGATTAGCTTAGGACCGAAGAGAGTACCAGAGCAGAGCCAAAAAGTTGAGCACGTTATTTCGGGACCTTCTAGTCTTAGAGTTACCTCTATGCTTGTATGGTTTTTGGATCTGCATGGACTCGGATCACTTTTAAGATCTTGAGCCTAAAATCATCTCGCACAGAAACCTACCTCTATCCGGAATCCAAGCGTCGAAGTGCTGGAGATCGTTTCCCGCCACACCATGTAGCGTGGCTTGGTGACACCCTTGGCGCGGTGTTCCTCCTCAGTCGGTGCGTTCGGATCGATTTGGATCATCTTTTCGTACATGTCCTACAAACCAGAGACAGAGCCCATTGTTAGTATAAAGCAGATCCTGTTGGTCATTTTTGTTTAGCTACCTTTCGCAATTTCGGCTTCTCTTTGGCTTTCGAAAGCTCCTCCTCCAGGTAGGTCCGTACGCCAATTTTGCAGTCCATCACGCACGGCTGGTAGAAGTCTGTGAGCAGATCTTGCAGCTGGATGTAGGTGGCTAATTGATTCGTAACGAAATTGGGTTAAGGAAGATTTGTGTCTTGCAATTGTTCCGAAACCGGTTACGATACACCGTGTCGAAACCATCGACGTTAATAACTATTGATAATGATGAAGCTAATGATGTAATTGCTACATACGGCGAGCTGCAGCGCACATGCACATGCTACTGATTGCCTTGATTCAATCTGATGGGAAAATTAGCATATTAATTGGGTTACCTAGCCCTCTGCCTCAATGGCGATGCAGAGTGCAAGCGCAACTGGCAAAGATGATTGCGCAAATCAGTTGGTTCCATTCAACAAAAAGTTGTCATTTTGATCATTTTTTTCCGTTGAAAATCCGATCGAAACAACGAAGTGCTGATAGTATCATGGAAAAACAACACGGTAGCTGTTTGTTTTGATTAGCCAAAGCAGCTAAATTAAAGCGAGCTCGATATTGAGAATGCGTGCATAGCATTAGCGCCGCGTTGCTGATTTGTGTGTTGCTATTTACTCGGGTTATAACAATTACAAAATAGCAAGTAGCCGCTGTTGTTGCCAGAGAGATTCTCTCTTGGAAGGTGGCGACGCAGTAGGCCGTGCGGGTGATTGCCGTAACTGGTTGTTATTGTAATAGAAATAGAGCTCCGATAAGATCGCGGTAGGCGCTGGTTAGGAACGTTTCACACGTCATAAATTGATGATTGAAACATCATCATTAGGTTGCGCCGGGGTAAATTAATATCCGAGGGGATGCAGTTAAGGTACTCTATGTTTGTTTGTTTTGGAAAAAGGATACATTCACCATCATCGCTGTTGACTTGGCCCTTGTACTCCGGAACGTACGGCCGGAGAACGTCTTTCATGAGGACCTGGAATTGAGTTTCAAATATATAAAAAAAAGGTTGACATCCAAATTAATCAGCACACATACCTTGAAGCACTTCTCCTCCTTGGGGCACAGTTTCTTGAGAACCGTGCCCTGGTCGGGACCGGCCTTGAAGTTGCCCTGATGGCCGGCTAGCTGAACCCACGGGTATCGTTGCTTTTTGTACGTCTGAAAGAAGGGCGTCCACTGGACGATGTTGCGCAGCTTTCGCCATCCCGAGGGCTGCAAATGAAGGAATCAGAAGAATAATTTAAGATGTTAGAAATGAAAAAAATAAAACTAAAATTGAGTTGTTTACTTCATTGGATTGATCCAATTCAACCGCACGGTGGAACAAAACCACAAAAGTACTATTCCGTTTCACAGCGTGCTTTAACTAGATCAACTCCGGTATCGTGCACATCTATGCGAAAGTAATCCGAACTGCCGCCGTCAACCCAAGAACAGGGTGGTCGCCAATGAATTTGAGTCGCATCCTTCGTCACAACTGAAGACCGGTATTGTAAGTTGACACTCTCGTGTATGCGTCTGAGAACACGTTTGCTAATGAAGTTTGCGCGCAATTCCCATACACACAACTGTCACATTTGCTTCACCGCAAAGTTAACACAGTCACAGTTGGCGTGTGTTCGCGAAAAACCAATAAAACGGTGACATTATTTATAGCTCATTGGCTAAGGGGGTTCGTCTTCTGCCTTCGCCTGCTTGTCGTCTTCGGAACAAACTGCGACTTATGTAACTGCTGCAGTGCAAGTGACAGCTAAATGACATACCCTAGCGGTCGACTGACGTCAAATTAATTTGATATACGATACAGCTGGTCGTCGGTCGGTCGGTCGGTCGGTCGGTCGTTCGTCGGAGTGCGGGTGATGAATTTCAATTAGTCGCGTGCGACTGTCAATCAAATACCGGTGACCTAACGGAAGGTTAGTGCGAACGCGTTGATGGCGGATGAAACGTTTTGTCACTTTAGCTAAATGCTGTTAATTGCCGCGTAATTACGCAAATTGATACGGAGAAAGTTATCGGCGAGTCAAATTGATGGGTTGATAAATTCGATTGTTTACAGTTGGTTATATCGTTTGTTTACTATTTAGCATCAGGCTGCGTACGGTGGCAGGGATGCCAGGTGAATTAAGAAAAAAACTTCAATGTGTCTTCACTGGTACTAATAAATTATAACAGATTTATAAGCATTAATCTTGACAGAAGTTCAGCAATAGCAATTCGTAGAAGTTAAGTCATTTGATTTACGAAAATTTCGTACAAGTTTGGGGAACTTCGCAAAATTTCAGAGAACGTTGTAGTATTTCACGGAGTTTCTAGATCTTCAGGAAACTTCGCTTGACTTTAGAAAATTTCGAGGAAGATCAGGGAGCTGCGTAGAAGTACTGGAAACTTTCTAGAAGTACCGAGAATTTTTTAGAATTTCATCAAATTTTGTAGAACACACTTAGAAAAAATCATGTAAATTTAGGTGCTCTGAGACTGACATATACGAGCGTCAATTTTGACATAAAATTGAGTCATAATAGACGCAAAATTCAGTTCAATCAAACGTACTTTTAGTCGAGTAACGAACTCAGAGCACTTAATTTTACATGACATATTTGCTTACGTCTCATCCTTTATGTCAAAGATGGATTTCGTCACGTGTAAAATTAAGTTTTTCTAAGTGTGAAGTTTAGAGAATTTTGAAGAAATCCGTTAAAAATCGTAGAAATTTGGTGAATTTTTTTGCAGAGATTCGAGGATCTTCAGGGATTTATCATTAACTTCATTGGAGATCTTAAAATTTCATACCCAATTCTCATTACGATCTATATCACGTGATATAGCGAGATGCCAGATCATAAACAATAACAAAAATAGTGATAATTCAATGACTATACAAAGTGGAAGAAGTACATAATACATTACCAGCTTTTGGTGCGATTTAACCACTTCATTCGAGCAGTTAAAATGACGTTTACTACCACTCGAACTTTGAAATAAAACATTATTTTGAGATTTTTTCTTCTAGAACCACGAGAAAAGTAGCCAATATTTGTGCGTTTCATAAAAAAAGGAAATTAGTTGGTCCAGTTTTGTGAAATCACTGGTAGAAAGTCACGCCAAAACTGCTCGACAAAGTGGTCAATTGAGACTGAGATAGATTTCTGACAATGTCCTTTTTTTCATGATTTGACCTTTTGCCCCTTCGACCTTTTGTCCTTCGACCTTTCGTCCCTTCGACCTTTTGTCGATTTAACGACGATTTAAAAGAAAATATTGTCGTTCAAGTTGGACACTGGAAAACCCACACGCGACATTCGATTTTACCCTCGTTCTGTACGTTATACATAACGTCGGACATAGTGCGCTGAATAGCGCATCATTGTGCGAATACAGCGCACTATGTCCGACGTTATGTTTAACGTACAGAACAAGAGTAAATTCAATTGGCGGGTGTGAGGTTTTCCGGTTTTCAACTGAAACGATAATACTTTCCCTGCAGATTTATACTACTAGAGATAATTGAGACAGAACACAAATCCTGAGAAAGGCTCCTCTGCTGCTCTGTTTTGAATTGATAAGCGTTCAGCTCTAAGAGGAAGAGGAGACAACTGGCTTCTTACTCTTTTATCTCTATCTCTATCTTACGCACTTCAAATCGGCCAATCACGAGCTGGTTCGCGTTTGACAGAAAAGTGGTTCGTTTTCGCCCCCGTATTGTCTTCTTTTCCTCTTAGGTTCAGCTCACCTCAAACACCTCAAAGCGAATTGGCGCTGGCAAAAACAAATCAACGCGTACATTGAAGCCTAATTGCACTGAATATGCTGTTCAAATATTCCCTAACAACGTCAACTCGTTCTCAGCTTTCAGCTCAAGCGCTTTTGACAGTTCGCATGATTTCTGCGGCCGACGTTCGATAGCGATCCTAGCAAACTCCGCAGCCTACTATGCTTACGTCACTTGTGGGGTAATCGATCCAGCACTGCGCTCAAAACCGCAATAAACGATCTCAAATTCCACCGTGTTCTAAAAATACTCCCAACTTAAGTGACATCTTTTAACCGCATTCTAGCGACGCTCCACTTAACAGGATTGAATGTGGAAATGAATTCACAAAAGCATCAAATGAATTCACGAAAAAAGAACCAGGCTCTCCATCATTAGCAGCAAACGGTTGAATGTCGAAAATTTATTTGGAGACTCTATGCGCATTGACGTCAAACCCTGAATTGTTGTTGAAGGTGCGTTGAAGGTGCAGGGAGGTGGTGGTGCTCCGCCACCAGCAAATTTGAACCATATAAATGATTATCGAGGAAGGAGAAACAATTTCTTCTTCACGCTCTCGCGAATAACCAGCAGCCATGGAAACAGCTGATGCCGGTTGGTTGAAGAGGGCATCCATAAGAGAGGGCCATGGCCACAACTTGATTCGCAATGTTTGGTTCTACGTCATTTATGGCTGCAAGTTTGTTTTTTGGCGAAAGAGGGATTTTCCGTGGAATAACACTCCAACAGTTGGTTCGTCGCGAAGAGGTAGTCGAACGTAGTAACTTTCCGGCGGTGCGATTTTCTCGTTGGTTCGTTTATTGTTGCGCGGTTATATTGTTATGACGCACACGCAGCAGAGAAGCAGTGGAAAGTATAGGAAGCGATGGAGTGCGGCTGACGCAGCTGAAGATTTATGCAGGTTAAGACTGAGCGTGTGCAGATAACATGCAATGTTTACTGGAAGTTTATACCTGAAACATGTTTTGCATAAAAAGTACGATTGACGCACTCCTTTCATTTCTGCATACTCTATTTAGTTTGTGCAGAATAAGTCCATGTTGGCAAACATTTGTAACCCTGGAGATGAAAGGCTCTACTGTAGATCCAGCGACCCATTTTAAGAATCACTGCTCGAACACGTGCATTCTGAGGCCTCTCTTACACACAAGGCCAATTGAGTCATTATGCCGAAATTTGGATGACTATTTCACGACACAACAATGCTGAATCACTCAGAGTCCCAGAATTTTGACAATTTTGTTCAAGTCCGAGATTTCAAAAATATTTCAATATGCAATAGTAATGAGACACTTGTTAGCCCCAGATCTTTTTTTTTTTGTTAATCCGACATCTTCGATATTTCTCTGAGTCAGAGATCTGAAAAATTACTCAATTGAGATTTTTTCTGTATTCAAGATTTCGAAACTTTTTCAAAGCCAAAAAAATCTAGGATTGAAGTTGGATGAATCTTCCGGTGGAAGTCGAAAGAAATCAAACTAATAGATCCGATAATGGATTAACCCTCCGTTACTCGCGCTGTTGTACTTGGAACAACACACATGAGTTTTCCATTGCCATTTTGTTGCTGAGTTACCAACCGATCTGAAACCAACAAGTATTCCTCAAAAAACTTGTTTTGATCTAAACAAGCAAAACCCTGAAACCGCGTAAACTGTGACCATACTAGGTGGGATTTGACTCAATTGATTACAACATGAAATATATCGAGATCCTGACCAGATAGAAAGTTACTTTCTCCGCCAAAGTTGTTCAGGAGATCATAGCCTTGTCGATGGCGGACAGTAGTTCAGAATTTTCTCACTACGTAGCGCTAGAATACATGAGAAATTCTCGCATGTGATATATCTCGAGATCCTGACCAGATAGAAAGTTACTGTCTTTCACAAAGTTTTTCAGGAGGTCAAAGTTTATTGCTTGGTGCTCAAAAGTTCAGAATTTACTCACTACGCAACGCTAGTATACACGTGAAATTCTCCTATAAAATATCTCGAGTTCCCAACCAGATAGAAAGGTACTGTCTTCGGCATAGTTGTTCAGGAGGTCAAGGCTTTTTCGCAGGTGGAAAGTAGATCAGAGTTTTCTCACTTTGCAGCGCTACTATACATGTGAAACTCTTGCATATAAAATATCTCTAGATCCTGACCAGATGTAAATGTATTCGGCAAAGTTTTTTCAGGAAGTCAAGATCTTTTTTTTTTGGTGACAATAGTTCAAAATTTTCTCACTATGCAGCGCTAGTATATACGTGCCTTTCTCGCATGTTCAATAGCTCGAGATCTTGAACAGCTAGAAAGTTGCTGTCTTCGGTAAAGTTGTTTAGGGGGTCAAGACTTTTTGGCTGGTAAACAGTAGTTAAAAAATTTCTCACCACGTGGCGTTAGTATACATGTACACTTCTCGCATATGGTATATCTCGAGATCCTGATCAGATAGAAAG